TAGATAGATAGATAGATAGATAGATAGATAGATAGATAGATAGATAGATAGATAGATAGATAGATAGATAGATAGATAGATAGATAGATGAAATCGTCAAAGAAAAAACAAATACACAGTTCTAATTTGAAGGTGCATGTCAGTCTTCCATACATCGTCTTGTTCTTCATCTCAGAAAGAACATCTGCTTTTTAACAAAGCGATTCAAGCAGCTGCATGCCGTCAGATTGGGCCAGTTATAGTCCCTATGTCCAATTTTAAAATGACGCAATAGCGTCTTACACTTAGAGCACGGAAAGGACGCGCTTCTATTGTGGAGGGCGCATTTCCGTGATTTCTGCCTGATTGTGCGCAGCTTCACCGCGCGCACATTCCAGTTCCAGAGCGCGCTCAGCGGATCAGGGAGGCAGCGCATTCCTCTGTAGGCGCGGCTGGCTCTCTTCTGCCCGGTGTGTTGTTCACATTGGAAACCCGGCATCAGCGGAGGGAATGACGGCAGCCGTTCGCTGGTAGCCTCAGGTGGAGAGGGGAACTAGTTTGCGGGGGAACAAGGTGAGCCATGGATAACTTAAAGGAGTCAGAGCCTGTACCTGTACCCTCTCCAGGAAGTCTGACGCTCTGATTGAAGGTAAGCAGATCAAATACAAAGAAGTAGCTAAAAGGCACTTTAGTCTTTAAAAGAAACGCTCTGATTACAAGTTATTATCTTAAGATAAGAACCATAAAACGCTCTAGATGAACACAAAACACCTGTTGTATTGAAACGGTGTTGAGTTACAGCACCTGTTCTGTATATAGAGTTTTATTTACAGCATTAATAAATATTCCCAAGTATGATGAAATGATGTGCGATAACTACAGTCGTATGGAAGTGATACTTAATAGCAGCTTTATAACCATAGTTGTTTAAAACATTATTATTCATTTATTTAACAGGTGGATTTCATAAGTTTTCCTCATGGCTGGCTGCTGTGGCTGGATCTACCGCACCTGTGCGTGCTGTCTGTCAGAGGAGGAGAAGACAGCAATCGCTGTGGACAAAGAAATCCAGAGGATCCTCAGGCAGCAGAAGAAGAAGGAGAGGAGAGAAATAAAAATCCTGCTACTGGGTGAGTAGGTCACCTATACCTGCAGCAGGACTCCACCAGTTTAAACGCATGAAATCAAAGTTAAAGCGTGAGGTGGAAAGTTATCAGAAACTTAAAATGCAATTCAAGGATATAGGAGGAAACCTTGAATCATCATGCAGACATGCTGAAACCGTTCTGCCTGTTTGGTAGCTGTCGGAGAGGATAGTAAAAATATGTTAGGTATGTGTCACTGTGGGTATGTGCAGAATTATCTAGATGGGGATGGGCTAGACACCTGAAAACACACAGAGTTTACCTACATTCAGGGATAGTTTATCAGGTAATAGAGGATATGAAGAGGTAGAAATAGTAAATGATAATTAGAGCTTATACCCCTGTGGCTGTTTGTTGTACATTGTTAAGTGTTCTTGCAAGCTTTTGTCCTTTACTGGCCTACACCCGAAGATTAAATAGTTTTTCCAGGGATTTTGGTAATGGGGAAAGAAGTGAACCTGCCTACTTTGGGTCCATGATGGGAGAGGGGCCCATAAAAATCCAAATTTTTCTCTTGATGATTTCATTTCAAATTAATTGTTTCCTCTAAATAACTGATTTCATAATTCATCTCAGATATAGTATTTACATGAACTGAGAAACTATGGAACTTAAAAGATTCCAATGCCTGGATAAGCTGAAAATTTAAAAATATGAAAAAAAA